AAAAAAAAAAAGATGGATGCTACAGTGGCGCACATCTGAACACGCACACATGATCTCAATATTGGTGCATAAGACAAAACTCACTCCACTCATGGATGGAAAATCTTAGTGGGAACACTGCAGGAGACCCCCCCACACACACCCATTTACCATTGTATTTGAGACAATTTTTTATTTCAGAAGTTCCCTAAGAGGAAACTGTTCTTAATTTGATTTTAACATATAAGGAGGAACTAGCTGAAAATTTTGAAAGTCAAAGGCACCTTGAATGGAACAAAAAGACATTCTACATAGATACTGGAAGCAAGAGGAAGACCAAGGACAGGGTAGGCCCACTGCTTAGTGAAGAGGGAGAAACAATAATAGGAAACTCGGAAATGGCAAAGGTGGTTAATGACTTATGTGTTTTGGTTTTCACCAGTGAATGGGTAGGTTTAGATATTAAAATAAAAAAACAAGTTAAAAATTACTTAGAAAAGTTAGATGTCTGCAAGTCACCAGGACCTAATGAAATGCATCCTGGAATACTCAAGGAGCTGATAGAGGAGGTATCTGAGCCTTTAGCTATCATCTTTGAAAAGTCATGGAAGTCGGGAGAGATTCCAGGAGTCTGGAAAAGGACAAATATAGTGCCAATGTATAAAAAAGGGAAATAAGAACAACTTAGGAAACTACAGACCAGTTAGTTTAATCTGTGCCAGGGCAGGTGATGGAGCAAGTAATTAAGGAATCCATCTGGAAGATAATAAGGTGATAGGTAACGGCCAGCATGGATTTGTAAAGAACAAATCATGTCAAACCAATCTGATAGCTTTCTTTGATAGGATATCAAGCCTTGTGGATAAGGGAGAAGTGGTGGACATAGTATACCTAAACTTTAGTAAGGCATTTGATATGGTCTCGCATGGCCTTCTTATCAAACTAGGGAAATGCAACCTACATGGGGCTACTGTAAAGTTTGTACATTAGGAAAAACTTCCTGTCAGGGTGGTTAAACACTGAAATAAATTGCCTAGGGGGGTTGTGGAAGCTCCATAATTGGTGATATTTAAGAAGGGATGATCTAGACAGTGCTTGGTCCTGCCATGAGGGCAGGGGACTGGACCCGATCACCTCTTGAGGTCCCTTCCAATTCTACGATTCTATGAAAACCACACAGAAAAAAGACAGAATCACCAGGCAGATGAAATGGGCTGCCTGAGGGCACTCCTTCCCCTTCCAGGACTGCCCAACTCCGAGTTTCCCACCTCCCAGGCACCTTTTAGGAAGGGTGGGTGAGGACTGAATCTCCCCTCCTCCCTCAATTTGTATGAGAATATATAAAACTATATAGAAAATAGAACAGTTAAAGAAACTGTCTGGGGGGTGTATCTTCCTCCTCCTCGTTGTCCCCCTGAACCTGGATCTGCCCAGACGGGGCATGTGAACTCCCTCCCCGGCTGTACCCACTGAAGCTGCAGTGACCATGAAGAGGTGCTTCTCACTTGGCCCAAACCTGTGGCAGTGAGAGAGGGCTGGGGTAGTACTCTCTCCTTGTGTAGCCTGAATACTAAACCCCTCATCCCCAGCTCCACCCCAGAGCAATGATTTAAATGAAGAAAAACAAAAAATAATTGAGTTAAGTATTTATAATCAAACTAGAAGATATACCCACTGTTGCTTGGGTCCTTAATTCAATTAATTTTTATTTTTTAAATCGGGGTTTCCCAAACTTTTTGACACAGGGTCCAGTAAATCCATTCATGAGCTTTTGTAGGACCGGTAACATTCATTTGCATATTTGCATATTCATTACGCAAATGATGAATATTCAGATAAGTTGTTTCTGGTCCTCCCAAAGCCCCTAGTGCCAGCTTTAGCAAAGCTTTTGATACGGTCACCCACTATATTCTTACCAACAAGTTAAGGGAATATGGACTGGATAACAGCAAGTTAAGGGAATATGGATTAGATAAATGCACTCTAAAATGGATAGAAAGCTGGCTAGACCAGGGTTTCCCAAACTTTTTACTTCAGTTGGAACCTTTTTTTTTTTCAGTATTGTTTTTTGCAGCCCAAAAATATAAACGCATATTAAAAAAGAATTAAAAATGAATACATTTTCAGTGTTTCCCCCGGCTGCGTCCTCCGCCCAGCCTGGGCCAGGGCTTCGGGGACCTGGTGCCGCATGGGCACTCCAGGAGGCAGGAGCAGATTGGGGGTGGGGTATCTGGCTAGGAGGGAGGGTGCAAGGAGGGGTAGGGTTGCCAGCTGTCTGGTTTTGTACTGGACAATGCGGTATTTGAGGGTTCTGTCTGGGAAACAAATTGAGAAAATACCGGACATATAAAATGTCCGGTATTTTCTAATTAGGTAAGTTTTATTATAATTAGGTGTATCAGTCCATAGCTGCAAACTGCCTGGCTCGTAGATGTGCTAATGTTGTGTGAGTGTGTCTACCAGCCAGGCAGTTTGTAACTACTTGAGGAAGGGCATTGGGGGGGAGGGCATAGTGGTATCCACGGGGCCGGACTCACTCATGTGTCTGGGTCTGCATGTGCCCAGGTCAGTCCTGCTTCCTGCCTGTCGATTTGCTCCCCTCTGCCCCGCTTCTCCTCCCGATCTCCCCCGTCCAGCCCTGCTTCCAGAGGCCGGTTCCCCCCTGCTCCCTACCGATCTCCCCTGGCCAGTCCTGCTCCCCCTGACAA